CAACATAACTGTCAAAAGGTGCAGGAAAATCGATACAACGCTGCCGACATGTCGTCCAGCAGCGTCGCCCTTTTGTGGAGCAGACAATGAGGCCGCGCGCTGATCCGTACCAGCACACACGCCGACCAATGGAAGCTGGACGAAAGGAGCACCCACCATCACCCACACTCCGCGCTTGTCCCTGCAGTAAGAACATCACTCCCACCGCCGACACCACTACCACTCCCCAAGAAGAGCTCGAATGACATACAACACCGAACGGACGCGGCAGGCAGAAACGGAGAATCGCATTGATCGGTTGGTTCCAACTCACGCTAGGCAGTCGTTCATGAACTCCGTTCCCTCAGAGACTCCGCCGAGAACGAGCACTCTCTGTTGGTGGCAAACCGCGGCGTGACCCTGCCTCGCCACACGGACATCCTCCTGCGACAAGACGCGCACAATACGACACAGCAGTGTCTTTAGTCCCGGGAATAGCCTAGCCTCCCCCATGACCCCTCCTCACGGTGCCCTCTCAGGCCGTGGCCATTAGGAGCGTCTTCCGCAATTAGCCGAAGTGGGACTGACGTCTTGTCGTTTGTCAGCCGGATAGCATGGTCGATTCCAAAAAAATGGATACACGCGCGCGTTTTCTTTATTCGTTTCTTGTATTGTTTGGTTAATTGTCACCCGAAAACTGACGCCTTTTCGCCGGCAAAGCTGCTTCTTGGCGCGGTCTTTTTTTAGAGATGGGGCAACACATGCACTGAGCACCGACAGAACTCCTTCCAGCACTGAAGCGAGCCAGCATGACGGAGGTTGAAACAGACATGATGGGCCTCACACTTGACAGCGTGGATTTGCGAAGCATGTCTGCCACTCTTGCACACAACCCGGCGCACATTATATATCATTCCTCTAGCGCCAGTGAAATTACGCCTCAAGAACACAAACAAACCCTTCCAGAAGGCACAAAATAAGGACTACATCGAGCCAAGAGCCCCCGTCTCTTTCTCTCTCTTTCACCCCCTTCATGTGAATCGCCGAATATCTCACGGCGCTTCGTGCTTGGTGATGTGAGAGCCTCGTCCGGTGAAAACCCGGCGTGCTCCGTCCCGGCTTTGTAGGGATGCGAGGTCAATGGTCTAACGACTACGGCATGCACGACNCCCCCCCATCCTCACCTCCATCCTCGTCCAGTGTGCCCCGTCTTCCGAGCGCCAGACGTCTTTTAGCTTGTCGTTGCTGCCCTCGCCCCCTATCACGTACAGGGAATTCTCGAAACAGATGGAGGCGTGTCCGCTGCGGGGGCTCCACTGACATTCGTGGGTCACGAGGTTCCAATCCCTGCAGATGCAAGGCCAACGAGCGGAGAGCACTTGTGTTGGGGCAGCGAATTGAAATTCGTACTTCAGTATTAGTTTTGGAGTAGTTTTCTGCCAGGAGAGAGCACCGCTACAGCTCGCGAGGTGCGAAGGGGGCCTCGGGAAACAACTGCCGTAGCAGCAACAGCAAAAGCAGCAGCAGCAGCAGCGGCGGCGGCGGCGGCGGCGGCGGCAGAAGCAGAAACAACGGGAGGGACACATGGGCTCCTAGAAGAGAAATGGCAGCACCAGCGGCAGCAGAAGCAGTACAGGAGAAGCAGCAGCAACAGCAGCAGCAACAAACGCTGGCATCAACAGCAATGCAGCAAGAACCCGTCCGGCCAAGCCGCCGTGCTAGCCGTCTCCCCCCCCGCTCCCCCGCCGACCGGCCGCGGTGCTGTAAAGGACGGTATCGCCGACGTCGTTATCCATCCGCTGCTGTGCCGCAACTCGTTCCCTCTCGCCAACATGGCATTGCCTTGCAGTACACTTGGTCCACCGGGACCTTGCGTGTCAAGCGGCTTCGGTTTCTCCCCGCACACATGAGCCAAACACCTCGTCCTCCCTTCAGATTGAAACAAAAGTCATTTCATTCGCAGCTGTCATCCGCACGCAAGGAAGTAAGCACAAAATGCCGAACACCATTCGCAGGATGCAGCGTACCTCGTCGAATACCTCACGGCCCTTCGCGCTTGGTGATGTGAGAGCCAGGCCCGATGAGAGCCCGGCGTGCTCCATCCCAGTTTTGCAGGGATGCGAGGTCAACGGTTTAACGACTACGGCATGCACGGCTATGAGTACACCCCCCCTTCAAACTGAACCTCGGACTGGATTAAAGAGCAACAAGGGACGACTGCAAGAAAAATAAACGCCCTTACAACAAACATAATTCAAATATTCTTGGAAATACACGCCCTTCCTCTTCGCCTCGCATCCATGAAGACCCCCTCCCGGCCTCGCAACAATCACATCACATCACATCACAGAGGATGGGCGAACGAAAAACCGCCTCTTTCTCCGAGAAAAAAATGAAACAAGAAAGAGCCCCTTTGCCCACGAAGAAATTCAAACAAGAAAGAGTCTCTTGCTCCAAGAAAAAAAATGACAGAAAAAATGCCTCGTACTCCACGAGAAAAGCAAACAAGAATTGCCTCTTTCTCCACGAACAAATCCAACAAGGAAGAGTCTATTTCTCCAAGAAAAGAATGAAAAAAGAAATGCCTCTTTGTCCGCAAACAAAATCAAACAAGAGTCTCTTTCTCCAAGAAAAAAATGACACAAGAAATGCCTCTTCCTCCACGAACAAAATCAAACAAGTCTCTTCCTCCAAGAGAAGAATGCAACAAAAAACCGCCTCTTTCTCCTAGAAAAAACTTAAAACAACAAACGCCTCTTTCTCCACGAACAAAATCAAACAACAAATAGTCTCTTTCTCCGACAGAAAAATAATCTACGAAAAACGCCTGTCTTCACCTGCCATCAGTGGAAACCCACGAGTCGTTAAGCTTCTGGCGGCCGTTGGAGCCTCCCAGGACGTACATGGCTCCATTTGCCTCCACCATGGAGTGGAACATCCGACCGCCCCACGGCGTGCTCGAGCAAGTCTTGCTGCGGTTTTGGTGGACAAAAACACACCAAACACACCAAACACACACGCGAAAAGAAGAGTCGATGGTGAAGCGGGTACAGTAGGTGGGCTGAGCGGGCTCAGAGCAGGTCAGATTGGGCTGGACAGGGGACCACCGACAACCAAAATAAAAAGAGCTGGCGTGTTTCTAATCGTAAGGGTACACACACTGTACAAAATCAGACTTACCCAGACAGTGTGGAGCTACAGGACGAACTGCGGTACTTAAAAGCCAGACACTCAAAGCTACGGGAAGACTGCTGCTCCGATGTTGTGGTGTCAGAAAAATGTCTCACGTCCACCGCACTCCGTCGGCAGACCGCCAGGCGTCCTTGAGGCACCCGAGCCCTTCCCCCCACCCCCCGACCACGAAGATGTACCCCTGGTAGCTGAGAGCGGCGTGTTGCCATCGCCCTTGCCAGGGCGCCTGGCGACAAACCTGACAAGCACAACATACACGAAGGAGAGGAGGGAGGAAAGGGAGGGAGAGAGAGATAACAACTCAAGACAAAGAGGTATACAGATCGAAGAATGCGGGCGCACCCAACCAGATCAGACACGGAGAAAGAGCGAGAGCAAGGACCGACGCAGAACAGACTTGTATGTGTACACGGGGGGATTCGACTGAGATGAAAAATGGACCAAATAAAACAAAACGAAAAAAAAGGTGTGGGGGAATACTGCATTGCCGACTACCAATTACTGTCTGCCGCATTGGGAAATCTGTCCGCGTGACGTGCAAGCAACGAAGGGCAGGGCCAGGAAAGATATCAGCACGAAGAGCCTGCCTGTTTGGAGGTAATCCTGCAGCTAACGTGTCTCCAGTCACCCCAGCTTAGCAAGCAAGTCCTCCGATAGTATCATCTGCCACGGCACGTGGCCCGTCCAGGCTGCTTTCAAGTCATCCAGCAAGCGCTCTGTCCCACGTGCCGTCACGTGCCGTGGGAGGAATCACACGACTACTGAAGGCAAGTGTTCCATTCTCAGCGCTTTTCTACATATCTACAGCAGCAGGAGTAGTCCCCGTGGAAGGCTGCAAAAATATGGCCGATTGCCCTGTTTAACTGCTGTGTATGTGTGTAGACTGCACGTGGTACGGATGGAATATTCAAATTGTCCCGTAAATTCTCTGAATAGTGCCTACCGGGTGCTCGGTACAACGCTCGCCAAACGCCTCGGCACTTAGGCCCTCCTGATCCCTTGGGCTATGCGGCTGAAAACACGGACCACTACTTCTGGTGTGTTGGCTGCCCCCAGCTGTCGTCTTCAACATCGGAAGAGATCGGCCCGTCCAACGAAGATACAGTCGAGGCACAGAACGCCTATGCTCAAGGTCGTATGATTCGATCTGCTTACAATCTTCTTCATGAAAGAAACCTCGAGAAACACATATACACCCACCTGGACCCAATCCTTGCCATTCACCGATCTCCACACATCGCTGAAGTTGTTGCGTGGGTCCTGCGTGCCGCCCATGAGAAAAATGGCTCCATTGTGGGTCAGCGCCGCGTGTCCGTCTCTGCCGCTCCAAGGCGCGTGCTCGAGCAGCCGCACCCACGCCTGAAAGAGGGCAGGGGACGTCGTGAAACATGGATGGACATGGACCGTACAACACCGCCGTGCAGACCACGGTGGAAATGAGTCATTCAGTCAGCAGGCGAAGTTGAGATCACGATTTGCTGCAAAAAACACAAACTGGCGGGAAACAGGGATATACAGCAGTTAGCGATGGCCTCGTCGAGTTTCACAAATACTTTAAGGTGGTACGACCTACAGATATATCTGTGTACATTTAGGTGATGAAAATCCGCCGGCGAAGTTACCGTATTCAGGTGTCACGCGATACCACGCCCTGGACCGATTATCCATTTCAAAGCTTGATTACTCCGCAGCAGAAAAAGTGGCAGAGGCGAAAATGGCGGCGTTGGAACCATCCCGTCCAGATCTTTCCGAAAACGCAACGAAATCGGCTGGTATCCTATTCTTGGAGAAGTGGAGCTTTGAAATCGGTCCACGGGGTGTGGTATCTTACGTCATGTCATGTCAACTACGGTAAGTTTCACCGCGTTGCACGATCGTAGGGGGGGACAGGAACAGAACTGGCCGAAGTGTGTGCTCGACGACCTGAAGGCATTTGGGGCCGACCACGGATCTACGAAAAGCGATCAATGTTGTCTCGGAATCCCGCTGCCGAAAGACACGGCACCGAAGTTTAAGTGGACGGAAGCCGCGAAGGTGGAGGGGGGAGTACCCTGGCATGCGGCGGTGCTGCAGGAGCTGATAGGCTCATGACCTCCTGGCACGAGAAAGAAGAAGAGGCCAGCCGACAACGGGCGCTCCAACGAAACCACAAGCCAACAACCAATGGGGCTGGAGGGGGGCAGGAGACAGACGAGACGGCGAGGAAAGAAAGCAGACGAAAAGAGACGGACCGAGTGGCGCGATACGTGCCGGATTGGATTTCTTTTAGCCAATTCCCCCCCCCCCCAACGCAGAGAATTCTTCAAGCAGTACCTCAGTGAGGCGTCTGAGGAGAGTTGGGAAAAGTACAGGGCCAAGAGAAAACAGGTGAAGGGACTAACGAAAGAGAAGAAAAAGTGTATTTGGGACGAAGTAGTGCAGCAGGCCAACGGAGGCCTGGAGGGGAACGTCAAGCAGATGTGGGAAGGGATTAGTGAAATGGTAAAAAAGACCGCGCAAGGGTTTAGGGTTAGGGGGATACAGGGGTAGCAACTTTACGAGGTGTGAGCGGTGGATTAGTCAGCAGTGGGAAGGGAAAAAGGGAAGTTCTAGCAGGACACTACCTGTCTCTTATACACATCTAGATGTGTATAAGAGACAG